TTTTTTTTTTTTTAATTCCACGATAATTTTTCAGAGAATGATGTTGGATGATGTAATATAAATTTGTGATGACCATAAGTATAAAGATACTATATGTAATGATATTTATTATTTAATCGTCGAAGCATGGAGATTTAAAATTGAGAACGAAAAGTTTTAATTAAAACAGAAAAGGAACATATTTTTTCACACTATTGCCCTGAGAGAAAATGGACGCACATGCAGGACGTATTAAATAAACTGAGCGATCGCTTGTATTATAGATATACCAGCATAGGAACGAGTTTCTAGAATAAACTTAATTAAAAAGTGCAACGAAAAGGAAAAAAGAAAGATTGTTATAAAAAGTTTTACATTCACCTGTATGTTTGAAAACGAAAAAAAAATACATATATGTATATAGGTCCAATTTCAAATGAAATCATCATTCACACGTGTTTAATCCAAATAAAAAGAAAATACATCGATCAATTGATAATATTTAAAATGGAAATAAAAAATTATTGAACGAAAATTTTTATTCCATGTTACGTTTTTCAGGGATACGAGTCAGATGACGTAATATATAATATATTAACATTATTTTTCATCTTTCTTGACGATATTGCAAAATAAAAATCTTTTACGCAAAAACGCAAATAGAATATCGATAGAAAAAAAAAAGAAAAAAGGCAAAAAGAAAAACTTGCAAAAAATTAAAATTTAGAGCATGAGTAAAGAATTTTGAACATGAACAACATGTGTTCAAAAGAAGAATCGAAGCATGAAAAAAAAAACTCATATGAACGATAGGAATCGATATATTATTTTTGTATATCGATATAAAATAAAATATATATAATTATTTTTCCTAGATCTGTTTACAACACATCTAAGAAAATCATCGGTATTTCTTTGAAAGAAAGGTATGCAATTCTTTTCTCTATCAAAAGTTCTTTTTCGCTCACTTTTCGAAACATGAGATTAAATGTAATGTGTTGGAATTCTTGCAGATGTTCACATATTTCTCATCGCGTAATGATAGATGACTTAGCCACTAAATAGCAAGTACAAGATAATTCTCGTATAACAGAGAGGTTAGGTTCCAGAAAAATGTTGCGTTGCGCGACGTTTGGATTATATACAACAAAAATTTGTTTATGTTTCTTATTTTCTTATAGAAAAAAACAAGGAAAAGAAAAAGGAATATGATATTTTAACTTGTTTTTTCTGAACTTATTTTTTTTTTTAAATTCCACGAAAATTTCCGCTTCATGTATATATATAAGAATCATATCAAAATACGATAATTTACTCATTACCTGTGAACAATGAAAAATATCTATCGATTGAAAAAAAATATATTAATTTTCTAGATTAAAAAAATATTCATCGATAAGATGATAACAAATGTCAGCAATGAATTGCTTACGCGATTATTGCAACTGTGTACACTATCATAATCTTTTAAAATGGCGCAAACAATTAATAATATCGAAATTGATATATGATCGATAAAAATCTCGATTATGCGTTAAATAGAGGATAAGTTTATACGGGATCACTTTTCACTATAAATATATTATTCTTAGTATTAATTCAGATTTTTATTGAAAATGATACTTCGTGTTTACGAAGAACATTGTAAAACAATGCTCTGTTTGTTCAATTGAGCATAATTAATTTTGATTATAAAGTTGAAATATTTTATCGATGACCATTATGAATTATATCAGTACGTATAAAAATTTCTTCGAAGAAGAAATCTTTATCTTTTGAAGAATTTTGTAACGATTTTACAATAATTTTCGTTAATACGTTCTTAAATCGATGAATCTATTATATATCAAACTCTTCCGTTAAGATATCCTAATATTATATAATTTTTCCATTAAGATATCTATAATTTTTCCAATCATCCGAGAAAACTGACTATTTTCTTTAATTCTCCTTGATTTTTTCGAAAACTTTATATGAAGAAGCGTAGTGTCTTATATGAAAAAAAAGTTAGGTTAGATTAACTTAAATTTACATAATTAGTTTTAATTATACAAATTTAATGATTTTTATTTTTATATAAATCGTAGAAGTGATTTCCCTTTCGATTCTATTACATATTTTAAAAACATCTCGTATGATATAAAGATAGATTAATTATAGGTTCGAAGCCAAATTGCATAACGGAAAGAACGAGAGCAGAAGAGAGACGAGAAGAAACAAAAACAGAGGTTGCAATTTTCATCGCCAACATGATCGTGACGCGGTTCAAGTTCACGGGTAAATTCGGTTATTCCCGAGCCAGTTAACGAACGAACGTGTTTTCGATGCATCGCGAATCATCGTGCATCATGACGTAGCTAACCTCTAAATATCTCGAATCTGCTTTAAGAATAACCATTTCCATTTTGCTCGCGCTATTCTCCTTTCGACCTCGAATCGAATCGACGTGAAACTCGATTCTTCCATCGATCACTAACTCTTCTCGTTTTATTCCTTCCTGATTCTTCATTGATTTCCGATCACCTCGATCTTTTTTCTTTTCCTTTTTATTCTTTCCTCTCTTTCTCTTTCTGTCTCTCGTTTTTTCCTCGATATTCGTCTGTCCTCGACCGTGCAGGAATGCACACTAGCGATTCGCTTCGACTAAAATAGTGCGTGATGGCATTCGGATAACGTTTAAAGAAGTTTCGAGAAATATTTATGGAAAAATCAAAATTTCTTCTGTAAACAAAAAGATAATGAAATAAAACATTAAGTTCGAAGATATGGATATCAAAAGAAAATTGGAAAGAAAAATGTGAATTGATTTAACTTTGTTGTCCATTTCTAACCTCTTTCTGTACTGATACAATATACAGTTTTGATACAGTTTATAGTGCATATTTCTGCTATGTTTCATTAATATGTTGACTTTTTCTGTATTGATATCCAGTGATATAATATATAGTGAAGTTTTTGTTATGTTTCGAATATATATATATATATCTTTTTCAGGCATTCGATTCTATTTTTCTTTTGATTTTTTTTTTTTGACGAAAAACATACTTTGCCACATAAAAACATAACGTATCTATGTTAAGATAATCGTAAATAATTTTCAATAGGATTGAAAATTGATATTGTTATCAATCAATATTTATCAAATATTATAACGATTAGTGATTTTTAATAACAATCTATCCAAATAACGTTAGCGATCGAAAATAGAAAAATGCTTCTTCTCGTTATAATAATAATGCAAAATATACTTCTTTTTTTATCTTTTACCTTGCAACTGTTATCAGTAAATTTTTTCTTCAAAACAATTCATTGACGCAATAATATTGTGTACAATTGCGCTAATTGTCTCGTTAGTGGAACATCTTCGTTTCATTAAATAATTCCCGCAACGGGAGAAATTACGATCGACTATCTCGATGAATATTATCCAGAACGAAACGTGTATTCATTAATTCGTATTTATGTCTCGATGAAACGAGATGCACAATTGTATCTTAATTAAGCTAGATATTCAATGGCTAAAATATTTGCACACTATTGTATTTATTATTGCATTTACATATTAATTAATTGGATCTAAATATAAATATATTTCATAATTGGCTACAAATTTTCATATAACTGTATATTTTATAATCAATTATATTGCGAAAAATAATACGTTAGATAAAAATTTGTATATTCTTTATCTTCATTTTTCGAAAGTTTTTTTTATCATTTTTTCATTTCGACTAAAATGGTATAAAACACGATAACAAAACGTTTCGTTTAAAAATAAGAGCATATAATATTTTATTATACGTTGTACGGCAATATCGAGCAATACACGTAAAATTGCTTTTTTGTTCTTATTTGTTTTTACAGAGACAATATTCATCAACAAACAAATCGAGAAATCACAATTCATCATTGATCCATCTCTATCGCGCACATAATATTTATCATCTTCTTTGCCAATGTATTTTCAATAATAATTTATCATGCGAAGATATTTTCGAAATATGCATCGAATGAACTTTCCACGTGTATCGTATTACACGTGGCAAAAATGAACTAAATCATAACCATGTTAAAAACGCACTTTTTCTTTCCAATCGTTTCAATTATATTTTTATCCTTTCGATATAATAATATTATCAAACAGAAAACAGTTTCAACGATTGTCTGATAACAAAATATCTTACCTTCATTTCAAAAATTATACATAGAAATTTCATGTTGTCGCTTTTGTTGTCGTTAAATGACATAATTGAGGATCTTGTAACGGAAGAAGAACCATTTTTTAATAATTTTAACAGTTATCGTTATATAAAAAATTTTACGTCATGTGGTGTAAGCTAGTATCGAGGATCTGATTTTTCCACTTTTATGTATAAATGACATTTTGGTGTTTCAATATGAAAATAATTATTTCATATATTCTTTTTAAAGTGACGGAAAAGATAGTATTTACAACACTTTCAAAATAACAGTATCATAACCTCAAAATCCATCCACGAACTTATCAAACGACGAATATGCAATCAACGTTTTTTAAAATCTAATTATATAGTTATGAGAAACGAATAAAATAGCACGAGTGAAAGTAATTATATTCGAGCTTCATAGTCGAAACGCTCAAAGGGAAATTTTTCCCCTTAGGGGAATTCTTGCATTTCTAGGTTAAC